ATAGAAAATAATGGTACCAAGTGACAGCTTAATCTTTAAAGAGCTCTAACACTATGTATATATACTTAAACAAAGGACCACATCCAGGTACAATTTTTACCCCCTTCTGTGCCTCTCGACTCCAGCGTGTCAGGCCAGGGCCGGTCTCTCAATTCCTCGGAAAGACGAATACGAGGTGGGCGTCCCCTCTGGAACCTCGGGAGGTCAAACACCAAACCCGACTAGCAGATAGATGGTAGATTGACACACAAAGCAAATGTGCTGCTGGGCTCATCTTTTATACCCCTGGGGGCCCGTATTCTCTTTCTTATCTTAAGAGGCCAAATTTTACTGGTCCGTTTTGTGGTGCCAGTTCTTACAAGCAGGTTACAAGTTAATTTACACTTGTAAGAGAGGAAGATAACTAAATTAGGACTGCCGGATGTTCTTGTTGGGCGGGAGATTCCTTCCCCCATGGACGGGTATGTGTTCGTATCAATATGGGTTAAGTCAAGGGCGCGATGTACAGCCTCTTGGTCAACAATTAGTTTGACCACCCTCCTATCTCTGCTTACATTTGGTCACGGTCACTGAGCCAGCATATCTAAACCTCCTGCTCCAAGGTTTTCAAAGAATATGCTGTTTTCCTGCTCTGATGTGCCCTGCATGGTTTCAAGCAGACAAAGATGGATGTTAAAATGGGGGTTCATGTCTGGCTACATTCCACCCCCTGATACGACACACCACGACCCAGGATACAAGATGGCGGTGATACCAGCACCTTTTGCCCACCTTGGGGGAATCTAAAAATGCCCAATGGTCTGATTAAGGGGTTCAGAATCGAGGACTTGGCTGGGATCTTTTTCTAGTGCTGCATATCGAATGTGCACAGAAGTGATAGCTACATTAACTAGGCGTTTCACAATACACAAGGTTATGCAGAAAATGATTACAACAATTACAATAATTAAAACAGTGATTATAATGGAATGCAGGAAAGGAGTTAGGGAAAGTCCTAAATGTTGGGCTAACCAATTTAGCCATGAGATTTCCCCATCTTTAGTTACAGCATGTAGTATTTTAACTGCATCTTTTATAGCAGATACATCTTGTTCAATCTGCCCTGAGTGGGTCACATAGAAACAACAAGATTGATTAATCACAGCACATACTCCTCCTTGTTGGGCTAAAATTGCATCTAAAGCTATTCTATTTTGTAGGGCAAAGCGGGCCACTGATTGGATCTGCTCATTGAGTAGGCCCAAAGCATCTGCAGTGTGGTTGAAAGCTATTTCTAGTTGCCCTGACACATTTACTATGGCTTTTTTCATTTCATCTACTCCAAGCCAGGGCAAGAATGCATGGGTAAATTGATGGAAACCTGTGGGACGCCTCACAAGAGGGTTAATAGTAAATTTCCTCTTGGATCGGTGCAAGAAGCTTCCAAGGTTTGTGATACCTGGAGCTGTAATGTGTGGGTGTACCGTTAATCCTCCAGGCACAGCATGTCCCAGAGAGCACCGTCCTATCCAGCCTACTGGCAGGTATTTGTAGGCCTTAGTCCCACAAATGAAAAATAGTCCAGGCTCTTTGTTAAGGATAGGGGAATATGGCCCCTTGTACCATCCCTTTCCTGTGTGTCTCTCCTTTGGGGCATGGTACGCAGCACAATAACTGCTATTAGTGACAGAGCACTGGAGAGCGAATAGCAGATCTTGTAGGATCTGGTCTGATGGCAAGAGGTCTGCCTTAGCACACTGGTCAGGCAGCAGGCTACTGCCATTTACCAGTGTAGGGTTGTAAATGCCATCATGGATTTGTAAAGAACAAATCATGTCAAACCAATCTGATAGCTTTCTTTGATAACGAGTCTTGTGGATAAAGGAGAAGCGGTGGATGTGGTATAGCTGGTCCCCGAGTTGCAAATGGTTGACTTACAACCGTTCGCAGTTACGACCAAAGCTGTCGTAAATGGCGGACCCCGAGTTACAAACGCCATCTGTGCTTACAAACAGCACGGTCACATGTAACTCAATGGGGTCCGACTTACGAGTGAACCGAGTTATGACCAACTGCTCAGTCCGTAACTGGTTCGTAAATCAGAGAGAGGCTGTATACCTAGACTTTAGTAAGGCATTTGATACGGTCTTGCATGATATTCTTATCAATAAACTAGGCAAATACAACTTAGATAGGGCTACTATAAGGTGGGTGCATAACTGGCTGGATAACTGTACTCAGAGAGTAGTTATTAATGGTTCTCAATCCTGCTGGAAAGATATAACAAGTGGGGTTCCGCAGGGGTCTGTTTTGGGACTGGCTGTCTTCAATATCTTCATTAACAATTTAGATATTGGCATAGAGAGTACGCTTATTAAGTTTGCAGATGATACCAAGCTGGGAGGGGTTGCGACTGCTTTGGAGGATAGGGTCATAATTCAAAATTGGAGAAATGGTCTAAGATAAACAGGATGAAGTTTAATAAAGACAAATGCAAAGTGCTCTACTTAGGAAGGAGCAATCAGTTTCACACATACAGAATGGGAAGTGACTCTCTAGGAAGGAGTACTGCAGAAAGGGATCTAGGGGTTATAGTGGACCACAAGCTAAATATGAGTCAACAGTGTGATGCTGTTGCAAAAAAAGCAAACATGATACTGGGATGCATTAACAGGTGTGTTGTGAGAAAGACACGAGAAGTCATTCTTCCACTCTACTCTGTGCTGGGTAGGCCTCAGTTGGAGTATTGTGTCCAGTTCTGGGCACCGCATTTCAAGAAAGATGTGGAGAAACTGGAGAGGGTCCAGAGAAGAGCAACAAGAATGATTAAAGGTCTAGAAAATATGGCTTATGAAGGAAGACTGAAAGAACTGGGTTTGTTTAGTTTAGAAAAGAGAAGACTGAGGGGGGACATGATAGCAGTTTTCAGGTATCTAAAAGGGTGTCATGAGGAGGAGGGAGAAAACTTGTTCTTCCTAGCCTCTGAGGATAGAACAAGAAGGAAAGGGCTTAAATTGCAGCAAGAGAGGTTTAGGTTGGACATTAGGAAAAAGTTCCTAACTGTCAGAGTGGTTAAACATTGGAATAAATTGCCCAGGGAGGTTGTGGAATCCCCATCTTTGGAGATATTTAAGAGTAGGTTAGATAAATGTCTATGGGATGGTTTAGTCAGTAGTTGGTCCTGCCATGAGGGCAGGGGACTGGACTCGATGACCTCTCGAGGTCCCTTCCAGTCCTAGTATTCTATGATTCTATGAAATAGGGAATGTCTACACAGCACTTACTTTGAAACAGAGCACTCTTCCTCCGACTTCACTTATTCGTCATACAATGAGGGTTACAGGAGTCGGAGTAAGAAGTCCTCCAGCTTGACAGTATTTTGACACTATTTCAAGATAACTGCCTGCTGTGTAGATGCGGACTAAGTAATTTCATTATAGTGCTAGTTATTTCAAAATAGTGTTGCAGTTTAGACATACTCTAACTGAGAACTTTGTACATATTGGTATGTATACTGATCTTTAAATCTTTTTCATCTCTTTTTATTATAAAACCTTCACTTTTATTTACAAAAGAGAATGAATGGCTGGTTCTTTGGAACTCACAAACCTCACATGATGAAACAGGTTTTCAGTAACCACTCACTGTATTAGACTTATCTGGCTGGCTGGAAGTCAAGGGTCAGAATGCTTAAAGGTTCTGTATTTGGCTTCTTGGTGACCAGTATGGTGTTATAGAAACTGTTACTGGCTTGGTTAATCTAATTATAGAATAAGCCACCTGTTTTGGTGATTGTGTGCCCTATTACTTGCAGTCTGTCTTGAGGGTATCATTCTCAATGTGGCCCATCTAATCCATTTCTCATATCAGCTTATATTGTATTGGGCTGACATCCCCTACGGTGACATCACTAATGCAATCATTATAAATCTACAATCCTTCTCAAGAGAACATGCAAGAGTTGTTAGGGATGTAAAATCCCATTTAATTGGTTAACTGGTTAAATGTAATGTTTAACTGGTTAGCTAATTAAAGGGGGAGCTGATTGGGGAGCCATTCTAAGTTGGCTGGGCTGCAGCGGCCCTCCTGCCACGGACAAGGGCTGCTCCAGACAGCCCAAGTAGCCCCCTGCCTGCAATAGGCTCTGCAGGGCTTTAAGGGTGATGCTTCACATCCCTAAGGTGCTACAAATGCCCGTTCAGAAAAGAATGGCAGAGAATGTTCCCAAGGCAAAAAAAGACTGAGAAGAAAATAATAACTCATTTGCATGATGAGACTGAAAGTAACAGCAGCATTAAAGGCATTGATTAGGAGACTGAAAAACTGCCACTGGCTTGGTTGAGCCACTACCCAGTTATATGTACCACAAAGCTGTTCCTCTGGGCCTGGAGCCTAGTGGCTTTTACAAAGTGCAATTTGGTACAATTACAGTACACTACTGAGTTGAGTATCAAACAGACAGTAAGTATTTCAGTGGACTCGGTGACAGTAAGATAAGATAAATTTTACCTGATTTGGTGCTCCGGACCTTCACACTCTGGAAACAAAGGGAAAACACTTGAAATTCCAAAACCCAACTAAGAATCTTTGTATTTTGAACAGGAAATTATGTTGCAAGCAGTCAAACACACACATACACACACCTCTCATGTGATAGAAGATGAGTACTATATTTATTACATTCTTATTATTAATTGACTTAAGGATGGTAAGCAGCGGGTAATTGACTAATCGAATAGTCAATGCATTTTTGCATTGATTATTCAGTTAGTCAATAGGGCATCTCACAGGCAAAAGCACTGAAGCTCGGGGTCAGCTGGGGACTCCCCCACTGACCCCAGGCTCTGTGCAGCACTGCCACTTTGAAATGTTCGCTCCCCACAGCATTTCAAAGCGGCAGCGCGGCATGGTGCCCTGGGGACTCCTCAGCTGATCCTGGGCTCCAAGCAGCACTGCCATTTTGAAATGCTGTGGATAGCCTAATGCCGGGCTCCCCATGGCATTCAAAGCAGCAACACTGCACAGAGCTGCTGACCTTGAAGTATTCCCCTCTTCTCCCCCCACCCTTGCTGCCTCTATCTGATAGAGGCAGCGGGTGGGAGACCGAGGGGGTGGAAGTGACTAGTCGACTATCCTGTCGACTATCCTATAAGTATTTGCTTATAGGATAGTCGACTAGTCCTTCACATCCCTAAATTGAATCTGTGTTTCAAAGGAAGGATGGTCTTGTGATTAAGGAGTTCAGTTCATGTTTCTTTTGCAGTCTCCATTTGACCTTAGGCAAGTTACTAACTCTGTAGCTCTCTGTTACTCATCTCTAAAATGGGGACAGCAGTATTTTCCCATATTGTAAAAGAGCTGAGGGTAAATTCATTCATGTTCAGGAGACACTCAAGCGTGGTCTACACTTCAAACTTAGGTTGACACTTGGGTGTAAAAAATCCACATGCCCAAGCGTCATAGCTGTGCAGACCTAACCCCTGATGTAGCTTCAACTAGGTTGATGGAAGAATGCTTCCATTGATGTAGCTTCCATTGCATGGAGAGCTGGAATTCTTAAAGTGATGGAAAAACGTCTTTTACCACAGTAGCAACCATGCCTCAAATGCTACTGGAAGGGGACCCCATAAATACAAAGACAAGTGTAAAACTTGAAGCTTGGGTTAAATGTGGTCATTAAATAGCCTAAAGCACTTTGTATAAGAGGGTTAATTAGTAGAGCACTGGTCAAATTTCATCACATTCCACATTCCTAATTCCCCCTGCAGCTTCAGAGATGTTATTCTTGACTTGGCATTTCAGCAATGAGTTAGCGACACCCATGTAGGCACTTCAAAGATATGTGTTAACTCAAGTTACCTAACTGAAGATTAAGTCTTAGTGAAGATTATGAAAATTGGTTGTTTTTACACAGTTAACAGGTGAAAGTAAATCATAGGCTCCCTGGTTGTCTTTACCTTGACTTGTGAACTTGTGAAAACAATGATAGCTTGTGTTATCTATCTCAAGTTATGCATACAGCTTTTTTCCTAGTGAAGATGCACTCTTGCAGTGAACTTTGGAAAGAATGTTGCAGTATAAATGGACATTGTTTTTATTAATAGCGTGGGTAAGTTCATCATTATTTATGCTTGTAATGCAAAAGGGCAATCTCCAAATATTTGTTCATAATTAAGTTTCCTCATTTCCAGATATTCCCTTATTTGCCACTTTACATCTGCTGCATTACAGATTGCTGGATATTTTTAAAAAAATCTATTTATCTTTGCTACATTACTATAGGATCCCTGTTCATTGTTTTCATCCCGTCAGCATGCAAGCTCATGGAACTGAGCACACACATATTTCCCTTTGGACTTTCTTCTCTTCCGTCCCCAGTGAAACTCTGGAATGTAATTTGTCGCTTACAATTGCAGACATTAGTGTGGAGGTTGGTGGCACTTCTGCTTTCTCTTAAACTGCTTTGGCACTTGTACCCTAACAGTCTAGTATGACAGCCTCAATTTAGACCACTACTGAAGACTGAATTCCAAATCTGATATCTTCAGTAGTTTAGGAAAAGTGCATGCCATCCAGACTGGTGTGTTGAAGAAGCAGGGAGCATTACATGGGGGTCTGTATAGCAGTATTGCTGGAGAAGAGTTAAAAACATCACTTTAATTACCTTACTTGTCCTCAGTCTAACTGAGTCATCGAATATCTTTGGCTGAGACACCCCACTCCATTCTAAAGAGGTTCCAATGTTTACATTTCTTGGTTCAGGTTGGTGGTTTAAAGTTGCCAGTGAACATTGACCTGGAAAGATTGAACACAAGAGGATTTTTTTCCACGTCCTGCATAGCCAAAGTAATTCATTATTGAATGCTGTGACTCACATATTGATCAAGTCATCACAACTGTCACCTCACCACTTCCTAAATTAGCACCGGAATATTTGCACTTACCAGTTTCATTGGCCACAATAAAGGATTCTGGGGTTCGCTCAGGCAGAGGAGGAGGAACATCATCATCTGGGCCTGGAGAAACTGCGAATCAAAGACATGGACAGTTATTTGGATTTCTCTGGGCAGCCCTAGCCTTACAACAATACACAGCTAAAAAGAGTACCTACAGAACCTTGCTGCCTTGAGAAATGACTCAAACACATCATTTTGTCCACACTTAACAGTACATATAGGCTGTGTCTAGACTGCATCCCTTTTCCGTAAAAGAGATGCAAATTAGACATATCGCAATTGCAAATGAAGCGGGGATTTAAATCCCCCCCCCCGCTTCATTAACATAAAAATGGCTGCTCCTTTTTTCAGCTTGGAGCTTTGCCGGAAAAAAGCGCCAGTCTAGACGCAGATCTTTCGGAAAATAAAGCCTTTTCCGAAAGATCCGCATCTAGACTGGTGCTTTTTTCCGGCAAAGCTCTGAACCAGAAAAAAGAGGCAGGCAATTTTCTGCTTGTGAAGCCGGGG